GAAAAATGTTGGATTGTATACCTGGATTATTGAGCATGGACTTTGTTATTCTGAGATGTATTTGCAACAATTTTCTGCCATATAAGCATCGCCATCTCCTTTTGAGATCTTCAGGAATATTTTCTTGTGTCTTTATACACTGGTACAAGTATAAAAGTTAAAGAGATCCAGGTGAAAGTTTTGTTTTACGACCGTATTTTTCGGCATATAAGTCACTTTTTTTCCCCATAGATTTTTCAGTCCTGGAACTTATACGCCAAAGTGACTTGTATATTTTTATTTTGTCTATATTCATAACGTAATTTTTGACTGGCGCTCTAAATTTCAAAGAACAGCAACAGCGAGTTCTCCCATGCGTGCTCGCTTCACTCAGCTGGTCCAGGCGGAGGAACGCTGGAGAGCTAGCAGCTCCGGCTGCGATGGATGGCGCCACATTGCCCAGGAGAAATGAAGCTGTTTTGATCATTAAATAAACATAATAAACGTGACGGATCAGTGGTGACGCATAATAAAGGCGACTTGTACGTCGAAGTGGCATATATGGTTTTTTCCTCTTAATGATGCTTTTTTTGACTGATGCGACTTATACTTCGGAAAATACGGTATGTTAAGTTAGGATTCTCTCTTCAGTTTTAGCAGCTTCTGTGTAAATCTGAATGTGTATTTTAGGTATATGTAGGTAATGCATTCTAGAGAGATCAATAACTTTCAAAAACTAATGTAGAAACTTGCTTGCTGGATAAATAAATTTGACTTTTTACCCTGAAAATACCATCTTTAACGCTCCAACAGCATGTTTTTCTGGACATTTCTAGTTAAGTAAAGTGACTTTGACAAGTGAAATTTATCGACTCATATATTGAACAAATTTCAGTTTTAATTTTATGCTTTGGAGGAAAAACTTTTCAATGGACAGACGCTGTATCAACGCGGTGAGCAGTCGTACCTGCGTGTCACAGTCGAGCAGCCTGACCGCCTTGTCGGTGACCTGCAGGAGCATCTCCTGCGTCCAGATTTTATCCTTCGAGTCCAGAAGAACCAGCTTCTTGATCGCATCATCCACTGTGACAATCGACTCTGTCTTGTCCATAATGAACGTGGAGAGATGCTGAGGAGAAGACAGCTGTTAGTCACACAGCCTGGATTGAAACAAAGACGGCTGCGTCAAAGCTAGCGCAAACATAAGCACAGAAAAGACACAAATTTAAGCTAAAACATTTTAAATTAGATAAATACATAAACTGGTTGTTAAAAAAAAATCAACTACACTTTGTATGTGCCTACTTCAAAATAAATTAGTTTGCTTTAACAACAAATAGATGCAGATACTTAGCTTTAGCCTTAGCCTGTGTGAGAAGCTAAAGCTAATTAGCCTAGCTTAGCATTTAGCATCTAAAGTTTAGGTGAAGAAAACAGCTAAAGCTGCAAATCCTTCAAATCGTCACTTCAGATAATTAATATTTATATAACTTATATATTTTGTATCATTTGGGTCACTCAAACGTCCTACTTCATGTTTTAAATTTTCTTAAAAGAGAAAAAGTTATTGACACGTTGAGTTCAATTCAGTTTATTTACTGTGTGGAGCGTCAAGTCACAACAGACGTCGTCTCAGGGAACTGCGAGTTCAAATCCAAATATTCATAATCCAGTTATGTATAGTGTCTATAAAAAGTATTCACCCCTTAGATGTTTTATGCTTTTATTGCTGCCATTAATCAATTATGATCTGAATAAACAGACCGGTTTTAGAAGGAAAAACAAAATCTCCATTGTCACATAAAATTAAGTTAAGTTTTGTTGTTTTACAATGTAATATAAATTAAATGACAATGTGCAATGTAAAATAAGTGACTGCATAAATATTTACCCACTTTAAATTGACTGTCTTAATTCAACTCACTGAAAAAAGATTATTAAAAAGTAGAAGCCAGAGGACGGGTATAAAAGGAGACCCTAAACATCCCCTGGAGTTCTGTTAAATCTATCGTCAAGAAATGGAAGGAACACAAGACGTGCAAATCTTCCAAAAAGTACATTATCCTCAAAAACTGTGAGACCGGGTAAGAAAAACGGTGAGAGAGACACCCGAGAGCACTATGAAGGAGTTACAAGCTTTAGCTGGTAAGATAGGAGAGACCGAGCATACAACAACTGTTGCCAGAGTTCTTCGTCAGTCCAAGTTTTATGGTAAAGTGGCAAAAAGAAAGTCACTATTGAAGAAAACTCATTAAATCTAGTCAAACTACAGCCATTATAATAAGCACTGGCATTAAATTTGTACAGGTTTAATGATCTCTGTTTAAAAGTGTTTAACTAACATTATACATTTTAATTTTAATTGTTTATGAATGGTAAATGGACTGTACTTGTATAGCGCCTTTCTATCTTATCAAGATACTCACGAATCTTTACACTACAATCTGTGCCCTCATTTACTAGTGGCGTAACGATACATCGATTTACATCGATATACCGCTTAAATGATTAAGGATTCAATTATATCGTGGCAAAACTAAAACATCGATTCATATTGTCATATTTAAAATACGCTTTTATTTTGAAATTCCCAAGTCACGTCTGTGTCACCATTTCCGTGCGCAGCTGCGCTCTGCGGCCGCCTCAGCAACATGGCAGACGAGGCAGAAAACACAGATAATGAACTTCACTCTCCTGCTGGATTTAAATCAACACGGTTGAAATATTTTGGATTCTGACAGAAGGACGGCTCAACACACAGAACTCATGTCGTATGCAACAGGTGCCAGTGTGAGTTCAAATACTCGGGAAACAACAAATTTGGCTGCTCACCTGAAGAAGAAACACGACATTGATAGCCATGTTATGTAAGCTCAATATCTATTTTTTTTCTTTATAACTTAAAGGTCATCAGGGAACTTTTAAGTTAACTGGTTTAAAAATGCACTTAAACATGAGAAATGTGAGACTATACTGAACAGGTCATTTATTTTTATTTTTTCATTCATTAAGAAAAAAAATTTTAATTAAATGCCTGGTGCCTGTAATAAACTTAAATAAAATGGTTAAATCATATTTGAATTGTTTTTGTAAATGTATTTATATGTAAACAAGATGGGCATTTGATATCGCAATATATCGATCGTAGACTTGTGAATCGAATAGAATCGAAATCGTATCGTGACAGACTTTGTGATAGAGAAAAATCGTACCGGCATACAAACAAATCAATATAATATTGTATCGTGATAAAGTTAATGATTTACACCCCTATCATTTACCCATTCATACAGCACTCTACTAGATCTATACAAAGAATAATCAGAGCTTTATCACATTCAAACACTGATGGGACACACATCAGAGGCAGTGAGGGGTTCAGTGTTTTGCCAAAAGACACTTCAGCATGTGAGTGCTGGTGGATTCGAACCCCCAACTCTTGCATTAGAGGATTACTGCTCTAAGCACTCAGCCACAGCCGCCCGTATAAAACTATTACTAGCAAATATTTGTACAGATATTACTTAGCTGTTGACTGAATTTGTATTTTTTTTGTATCCGATTTCAAAAATGCCGTATCGCCACTTTCACGACTGCTGCATGCAAGCTTGTGACTCTGACTACGTGTTCATGAGCAATAATGTACAAGTATTTTAGGAAAGCGTAACCACATGCACGGCACACTTCGGACTTTCTAACGTGAGCTCCGTGAAGCTGCGGCCAGAGTACAACCTGTTCCATTATGACAAGAATTTCCATAAACGCAATCAAAGTATCATGAAGGTGAGCTTTTATCTCAGGCTGAAGGAAAATTATATCATCGGCTCAGTGAGGAGGCGTTTATCTCTGTTCAGTTTGAACAGGTTTGTAAACAGTTACATTTAAATCTAAATGACCGAAGGAATAAGAGGAAAAAACACTAAAAACTGAATTCTCTTGTGAGACTTCTTCCTAAAACAACTGTATTTTACTTAAACAAGAGCCTAAATGTTTAGTATTCTTTAAAACAAGTGTACCTAATTGTAAAAGCACAGAACGGTCAGAAAACGTAACTTCCTCTCCGCTACCTTGTTAGGCGGTAAATTAAAAATATAACCAGATTAGTCAAAGGATTAGGAGATGAAGGGTTTTACCTCGACGTGATACTGCGACGTCTCTTGCATGATGAAATTGGAGTTGGAGTATTTTTTCCGCTGCTCTGTGGACAACAAAACAAAAATTATCTTTCTTCTGAGAAAACGCCAACTACCGCGCAGTAAATCGTCCCAAACAAACATGAGCTGAAGCACTGACCACGAGTCCACATGTTGTCGGTTCAGCAGAGAGAACAGACGGAGGGACTGAAGGTGAGAGCTTAGAACAGCAGGGAAATAAGGAAGTGACGAGACTGGCTTTTTTTTATTGCAGAGTATCTGTCACCACACAGGTAACACCTAACTATTCACCTCTACGTTGTGTCTGTACGACTAACAAACACAACTCTTCTTTTATCTCATTTTAACACCATTTTACATCAAAAATATCCTACCAAAGAATGAGGGAAAATGAACCAAACCTGTTTTAGAAGTTAATAATTACATTTCATATGAAAGAATGCGCATGTCTTAATTTCCCCCTCTGACAAGCTATATTGTGCTGCCCACGTTGGTATCAAAGATCAAGGGCTTCAGTTACAAGCAGAGATTTATTGAAAGTTCAAAGATCGATAACAGCGCCACGCTCGGCGCTTCACTCGTCGTTACGAAGTAGTTGATATAACCTTGCACAGATTAAAAGGCCATTACTAAACAACTTGGATTTTATGACTCTGCAGTGTGACGAACTACTCACGAGAGGTGATGGTTCAAAAAGTACACACAAGATATTCAGATACATTTTGGAGAAGTCATGAGCTGCAGTTCAGACTTAACAAATGTTAGCTAGTAGCAATTAAGAAGCAAAAAACCAGTAATAATTAACGATAGCAAAATCATACAAATTAAACAACAAGTTGCACGTAAAATAATCCTAGAACTTTTGGAACAATTGCCTTACTTCTGATAAAAACCAAAGGACGGATGCTCCAAGCTCAAACTGCAGAAACACACACTGGTGCACCCTGCAGCCGCCGAGTCGACAATAAACTTCTCGGCTTACAAAAGTTTTCTGCGATTAAACGTGAGCTCCAGCTGTCGGACAGCTGGAGCTCGGTCAAAGCTGAGTCATCCAGTGGAACAAGAAATGATCCAAACCACTAAGAATCAAAACATCGCCCTAACTCGGTCAAACATCAGAGCAGAACACGTTTGAATCACTTCAGCAGGACTTAACAACTCACATGTGGGCTGCACGAGAAAAGCTAAATATCTGCTTGTAGTATTATTATTGAGTTATACTAGAATACCCAGTTGTACTGTGGTTCTATCGTTATAACCATCTCCAGGTGGGAGTTTAGAGGAGTGGGGGTCCAGCTACTGTCAACTTTGTGAACACAATTATTGTGAGGTGTCAATATCTATATTCAATCTTAGAGATGCACAATATTAGATTTTTGGCCGATATAAGATGTCATTATGTTAAAACTTATTTGGCCGATAACTGATACCAGTATTTTTTTCCCCTAGACCTACTTACAGAGGCTACATATCTTTCTCTGCTGTGGAATTAAAATACTACATTGTTCTGCGTGGTCTTTGTCAGTTTGGCTGCTACCAAACGCAGAAAATGATGCAACACTTCAACTTGGATTATGTTTAATGTTAAATTTATTCATGACATGTACTCTCTGAAATAATGACAACACTGAACTGTGCAAATTTGAAAATTTTCACAAATCTAAACTCAACCTGTTCACAAGCGACAAGTGAAAAGTGCATAAGTAATAGTGCATTAATAGATATACTTGACTTTTTTTTTTAATTAAAAATTAACTTAAAACAGAAGCCTTTTATATTGGTGAGTTACTTTGATGGAATGGCCGATGTCCGATATTTAACTTTATCGCTAATATT